AACCAAACTTTTATAACACGAGGAAACACGCGTATACATTTGCCGTCCTTTTGAATGTTGTTTAAAATTCTGTCATTGTACCATTTTCTACAAGTCAATCGATATTCTAAATCTATATATAGTACATAAGCAAACTGGAACACCAAAGCTAGCTCAACTGTTACCAACTGATCATGTATATATATATATATATATATATATATATAATTTGTAAAAATAATTGAAAGTACTTTCTTGTAAAAATTGCCATAAATATATATGAAAGCAAATTCATTATTGCTGTATGAAATTGAAGATTTTATTTTATTAAAACGATATTCCAGAAGTTTTGAAAATATCACATGACAAGATTTATATAAAATACACTGTCAGTTCATACAAACTACTGTTAAGTTTTTGATAAAGAAGCATTTCAAATATGACTATTTACACCACAATATATACTGCATATACATGTTAGGGTTGATGAATGACTCACGGCAGTCATAATGCCCATGAGTACACAACAATACCCGGCAGCGTCCATTGCTAGCATTAAAAAAATATTTGAAATGAACGACCTATGACTCGTGGTGTGAATCATTGCCATGCACGTGCTTACAGCAGGTGAATAAATGGTACAGTGGCGCCAAAATACAAATTAAAAAATTCTATATAGTCGTATCTTGTTACACATATTGTGTCATTTTCGGGATACGAGATACGGTTAACCCTACTGAAAATCTTCTTGTTCTTGTGTTGAATAGTTATCAATTATCCCTCCGGTGGATAAATGTATTAACAAAAACCTGTTTCATTACTTATTTCCATTCTACAAAAATGGATAATGACTGACAGTTAATCAACTTACTTCTTATAATCAATTTGTGTGTTCCATCTGCCTGATGTAATAAAGCTGTTTAACGTATCACTCCACCCTTCCCCTTGTCTTTTAATAAACTTATATTTTGTAGGTACACATGGCTATAATGATCCTTCTCTCGCATCATTCCAAACCATTCATAGCCCTCTGTATCCTGAAAGAGTACAGTTTTATTATATCTTTCCAATTTCTCAAGAGTAATAAAATTTGTACAAGTCTCTTGGCTGCTCACTGCACTCTGAAACTAATTAAACTATGCTATACACAAAAAAATATTCATACAAGGAACAAGTCACTGTCTTATGCCTATTCTACAAAGTTTCCAAAGTTTTAAATTTACCTTTCCAAAGGTTATGTTCTTATACTATATAACCTTTACTTGTTCTTTAAATGAATCTTGAATTAGTTTATAAATTACCAGATCTTTCTTGACATGCTCATTCTGTATTTACACACACACACATTTAATACAGTCTTCAATGTGAACTTCATCATTTTTAAAGCGTCAAAGAATCAATAACTCATCTATATATATGTGGCAAACTTATGAGACCAAAAGACTAACTCTGTAGCCACAAGTTAAGAGCAAATATTCTTTATTTCATATACTCTCTCATAATTAATGCTTCATTTAAACAAAACAAATACAGAAAGATCAGCAGAAATAAATTCTTAAATATTATTTATTTTCTTTTATTTGTACATTCGCTGTAATATGGTCTTCTGAACAAACGCATAACCATGTAAACAAACTTTATCATCCATCTCATTCAAATATGCAGGAAGTAGCAAATTGTTAGTATGACTCACTTTATTAATATAGTTCTTAAATTCTTTAGTACACTTCATAACATTCCTATTTTCATATGTCATGCAAGACCGTATGTGAGGTGGTATCTGTATGTACATTAGATACCTAAAAACTCCGAGACCAACAGAAACAATTTGGTTACATCACTAACCTGCTCTTACATATCATAAAAATTTACTTGCATAGCCTTGAAATGGTGGGCCCTCACCACTTTTTTACTGGCAGTGGAGCAAATGTAACAATTACAACGCATTTCAACACACTCATTGCAAAAAATAAATTATAGAATCAAAAATAAGTAAACCAAAAACCTGATTTCTATTTCAAGATAACTTTTTCATCTTTATTTTAACTGGTATCACTGAATATAAAAGGCTTGTTCTTTTTGTCACTCTGTTAAGAGCACTTTTACGCTCCTTTTTTTTTTCTTTCTGAACAATATATATCGTCGCATAGCAAAAAATACTATCACCCGATTGTTCTTAGGTCAACTATGGTTTTTATGTTGAATGTTCAATATTTATGTTGATTTGTTTGAAATGTTTGTTTTTAATTTTTTTGATAACTTAGGTGATAAATCAGAAATTTTATGACACTGAGTTGTAGTCAAAAGCTAAATAAAATTTACCAAGCAGTGTTTCAGCTAAGCCTTACGTTACGTTTATGTATTAGGCATAATGCTTAAATTAGACTACAAATAGGCCTACTATTATGTAGAATTAGTATTTACTTGTTCTTTAAATGAATCTGGAATTTGTTCATAAATTACCAAATCTTTCTTGACATGCTCATTCTGTTTTACACACACACACATTTAGTACAGTCTTCAATGTGAACCTTTAACATTTTTAAAGCGTCAAAGAATCAATAACTCATCTATATGGTGGCAACCATATAATGCATTGTTGCCCGATGAAGGCTCCGGTAAGACGGCAGAAAGATCGCAATAAAAGTATTTTAACGTAGAGAATTGTCCGTTTATAATTCTACATATTAATTTACCTACGTTATGAGTCTTAAACAACAATTAAGCCTACTATTACTAATTATAAAGTCAATGTTTAAATAGTTTTAAGTGGTGAATAAATGTTAATTAATAAATATTCTTTTGATTTTTTAACGCATATATTACCTACTTGGCCTTAAAACATACAGAAAAATAAACGTTTATTACTACCAAAGATCTTTTATCTTTTGTACAGTCGAAAGAGTTGAAAATTCGTGTCGGAATGTCCGCACTATGTTTTCTACTTCCTGACCTAGAACACAGTGAAAAGGCTCAAGAGTGCTATTTAAGTCTCTTTCAGAGCGCACATGTACTTTTGTGCACGATAACATGTCATGTGGTGATTAAAGAATTACTTCGAGACTGATGAAATAAGTGAATAGTAGGTGTGTTTTGAAGATACAAACAAATTCGTTTAGTTAAATTCTAAGATTTTTGTTAATCATTCAACAATGGTTCCCGTCATTTTTCACGAGCATTTATACTTGTTTGTATTATATATATTTATATAGTTAAAAGTTACTTCCTCTACACTCACTACATAGAAACATGTTCATATAATGTGCAAGATGGCTTACTTTGCTTGATAATGTATAACATTAGCTTGAATGATTAATACATAGAGACATATTCATATTGTTACGACAGCGGGGGTCACGTGACGCTAGTAACACGTCACATTCTCGAAGGTTCGTGAATCCTCGAGTGTTTACTAGATTTGCGGTTTTCTTGTATATATAAAACGGCCAAGAAGTGACCGCAACAATGTAATTGAACTGCAGACAGAGAGACTGACAATTCAGTCGAGCACG